CATCTGAAGACACCATCTGATAAACAGAGGGGTATCTGTGACAGCCCTGTGCTTTTGTGTGTCATGGCAATGTGACTTCAGCTGCTGTAACACTATCTAAACCTGCACAGACACAGCAGCCACGGCTCACTCCTACCCCACGCAGCTGGCAGAGCAGATAAACCAGTGTTTATTCCTGCTCTCCATCTCAGAGCTTAACATGCACCTTGCTGGTAGAATTTCGCTTCAGTGGGCAGAGGGAGATGCTCTTTTCCCAGCTGGGCACATCTGGAGCCCAGGGGAGGTGCTGGCTCAGCGGTGAGGGTGGTTCCCCAGCCCCTGCAGCCCCTGGCTGGGGTTTGGCACAATCCAGGGCTTTGCCTGCCTGCCTTTCCTGCCCTGGCAGGGCTCTGCAGAGGGAAGGGGCTGTGGGGCAGTGCCAGGGCTCTGCTCTGCCCCTTTGGCTGCTTCCCAAGGGAGCCATTCCTCAGGGAACAGCCTGGAACTGGGAGGGGATTGATGTCCTGGTGGTGGAATGGGAGAACCCAGGAGTGGGAGAATTCAGGAGTGGGAAAACCCAGGAGAGGGAGAACCCAGGAGAGGGAGAATCCAGGAGTGGGAGAATCCAGGAGTGGGAGAACCCAGGAGTGGGAGAATCCAGTAATGGGAGAATCCAGGAGTGAGAGAACCCAGGAATGGGAAAACCCAGGAATAGGAGAATCCAGGAATGGGAGAATCCAGGAGTGGGAAAACCTAGGAATAAGAGAACCCAGGAATGGGAAAACCCAAGAATGTGAGAACCCAGGAGTGGGAGAACCCAGGAATGGGAGAACCCAGGAGTGAGAAAATCCAGGAGTGGGAGAATCCCCTCTGCTCTGGCTCTGGGCTAAGGTCCCTGCTCCCTATGTTCCCATGACATCTCTCTAATGCTGAAAATGGGAACAATATGATGCTGTAAATTGCTGACTGTAAAACAAGATTAAGCCTGATGCAGAACATCAACCTGCTGGCCAAATCAGCCTCTGGCCAAATCAGCCTCTGGCCAAATCACCCACTGGCCTGCTCGGGCCAAAGTGCCAGCAGATTTATGTGGCAGGAAAATCCAGTGAACAACCAGAGCATTTCTAAACAAACTGACAAATCTGCAGCACTTGGGAGCAGCAGCTGATGCTCCCTCAGAGATGTAACACGACTCCTATAATCACAGAAGTCGATTTAATTTTGTTTATTTAATCCAGCCCCGCGTTTTGCTGCGAGCATTCATCATCTGGTGTCACCGAGCAGAGGAGGAAATGTCACCCCTTGAGTCCCATCCCCAGTGCCTCTGTTAGCAGTGCTCTGGCTGTTCTCCACAGCTGGAGAGAAAAGGGCTTCGTGCCTTGCTGGCTGTGGAGCAAACACGCTCTTGCAGCTTCATTTTGTATTCAGCAGCTCTCCAAAGCAGCGAAGGCAGCATGAAAAATGAGGAGGAACACGACTGAAGCTCAGCTGCTGGTCTTTCCAAACTCAACTGCAAAAAAATACGAGGGCTGAAAGGAGACTTTGAAGCACAGGTATCAGCAGAAATATTAAATTGCCCTAATCAAGAAAAGAACACCTGGCCACTCAGTCATTTAATAAATGAAGACAGGGCTCTCTTCTTCTCCCAGTGCCAGGCAAAGAGAAAACTCTAATTTCCCAGCTGGGAATACAGCATGGAGCTGGCAGCAAAGTGAAACAGCTGAAAGATGGTGTGGTTAATGGTTGAGACTGGTTCAGTGACCTGGGACTGGAGAAAATTGTGACACAAAGTAGTTTAACAGCACCTTCACAGCCCTTTAGGCCAGCAGTGGGCTCGGAGCCTCTTTGAAGCCCAAAGCTCAGGATGGATGTGAAGTGTGTGGGGTTTAATCCTTTTTATTTTCCCTCAAAGAAAAGCTGCTTCTCCTGTCACCTCATCCCTGTTCAAGCAAAAACGTGAGGTGGGGAATGAGCTCAAGAAAACACAGCTTTGTCTGCAGAGGGGATTTTGGGCTGAAAAGAGCTGAAGCAGAGCACTGGGTGAAGCCATTCCACTTCCAGCCCTTGGTTTGCCTGCCCTGGGCCCTGACTGAATCCCAGGAAAACCTGGGGCACATGGATGGAGCCCTGCCCTTTTCAGGCTGCCAGGCTGGGCTCTGGGGAGCCCCAGCAGCAGCTCTGGTGCCCAGCAGTGCCAGCAGGGGTGTGCCAAGGCAGCAGAGGGCAGAGCAAGGGCGAGGTCGATCGCTCAGGGCAGGATGCTTCAAGGGCTCCTTGGCTTTTGAACGTACCCAAGTCCAGAGTCCCTTTTCCACTGAAGCCAGCAGAGCTGATTGAAAATAGAGATTTCTAGCTGTGCCCTGTGGGTGGAAAATGCCTGTAGCTGGGAAATCCCCTGCTTAGAAATCCCTCAGCTGCGGGACAAAGCGGTGGGAAATTGTGGCAGGCACATCCTTCTCTCCCTCAGGATTTTTCATAGAGGAGCACAGAGGACAGAAAGAGAAAACAATTTCTATTTCTGCTGCTTGTTTTTCCCAAGTGGAATGTTTATGGAGAATGGAGAATTGTTTACCTGGGGTGATGCTTGGTTGGATTTTGGTGAGGATTGTTTGAGCCTGGTGGCCAATCCAACCCACCTGGGGCTGGACTTGAGAGAGGGTCACGGGTTGGGAGTGAGATATGTTAGAACAAGCAGGTTTGTAGTTTTAGTATCTCCTTTAAATGGTATATTAATGTATTATAGTGTAGTTATAATAAAGAAATCATTCAGCCTTCTGAACTGGAGTCAGACATCAGCATCCCTTCCCACCTGCATTTCCGATAGAAACTCACCCAGGACTGGCTCAGCTCCCCCAGCAGTGCTGGGTGTGCTGGGCTGGTGCAGCCCTCAGGACACAAGGATGTGATACAGCAAATGCAGTCCCTGACTTTGAGCAGGAACACATTTCCATGACATTTAATTCCTTTTGGCAGGCTCCTAACTCCAAATGCAGCGATTGGGGACAGCTACAGCATGCCTGTCTCCTGCCCAGGACAGAAGCACTGGAGAGAAGCAAGGCTCATTCTTTTTTTATGTAGCACAAGGCTGCCATTTGCTCAAAATGAAAGCAGGTGGGAGTAAATTATTTGGATTTCCTGACAAAAGCTGCATGAACACACCACCTTCAATAAAAACACTTGATTCTTCTCATCATGCTTCTCTCCTCTTTTCCCCATGATCACAGGAGGCCCTGCTTGCTGCTTTCAGCTAGAGAAAATCTTTGTTATCCTTTCAGGCAGTGAATAACCAGGCATTCATTCAAACCTATTTTTTTTTTGGCAATAAGACTAAGGGAAATAATAGGGATAAAAAAATGGGAGATGTCAGGAACAAGTTCTACCTCTAAATACACGTTCAGGGTTCTCAATTCCTTCTTTGATTGGAATGGGGACAGGGAGCTTTGAATTTTAAGCAATTGAGTTATGTTTGTCATTCAACTGCATTGTTTTTCCATGTTTTCCTGTCCTTTCCCTCCTTTCTAAGCTCCTGTAGAGCTGGGTACTCTTTACCACATTGGCCCAGCAATACAATAATTTTCCCATCCCATACTTTAAGAGATTATGTCTATTTGTCTCAAATATCTCATCTATGACAGCCTGGCAAAGCCACTTTAATAAAGAAGTGCTCTGGTGGCTCCCAAGTTATTCCCACATTCACAAGATCTGATTTTCTGGAAGGCAGGGGTTTGATGGATAAAATAAACCAATTTTTTTCAATACATTTCAGGTAATCAATTAAAAAAAAATAAAAGGAAATATAACTCTTTAGCAGCTGGCAGCAGTTTCAAATAAATACAAGAAAAGGATGGAAGTGCAATGGCATCTGCAATGGTGGAAGTTAGAGGAGAATAACCAGAGATGCTGCTTCCCATGACACAGGGGAAAAGGAGGCTTACTAGGCTGCAAGAGGAAATTGTCTATCAAAATGAATTTAGAATGATTTTCATGTGATTAAAATTACCTGATGAGACTTATGTTTGATAAATTAGGAAGTACTTAATGAATCTCATACTCCATGGAGAATTATTAACAATTAAGTGGTGAAAAGATGAAACATGACATCCATGACAAAGATGTGGGTGGAGGAAATGAGACTGGCCCTGGGTGGTTCCATCAGGTGCCTGATGTGTTTGCTCTGGCAGCTTTGGGTGAGATGTTTTAAATGTTGAGGGTTAGACAGGAATGGCAGCTGGGGGAGTGGAGAGTGACAGGAGGGTCATGGAAATGGGTGGAACTTTGTCCCTGAGCTCCAGTGAGCCCCAAATCACGGCCTGTGGGAGCTTCATTCTCTTTGGGGAGACCTGGCTGGTCCCTCTGGGGCTTTCCACAGTCACACTTTGGGTTTGGTTCTGCTCCACTGAATTCCTCTGCTCCTGAGGGCTACCAGGTTAATCAGGATCTTATGTGGGTTCGGGATGCAACGACTTAATTCAATACAAAAGCCATGTTTTAAGGAAAAAGGGAAAATATACCTCATTTCAGTGAGGTAAATAATGGGAGAAATCATCAGCCAGGAGTGTTGTGTGCCACCGACTCCACTTGGGGTACAATTATGATTTCTCTTTCATACAGGGAAATGAAGAGGCAGTGAGTTATGCCCGTTATTTCTTTTGAAAATAAAGTTTTGAGAAAGAAAATATTGAAATATTACTTATTTGCGGTCTTTCCTCAGCATCAGATTCACCCAGAAATTGTTGACCTTCTTTTTTTTTTTTTTTTTTAAGAAAAAGGCAGATTTGATACTGGAATAGGCCTCTCCTAAACCAAATAGAAATGCTTTCTTCATTTAATGATCATCTTTTCTTATAACTTCATCCAAAGACTATTAAATCAAGGAAGGGCTCACTCTCCAGTGCCAGGCATTGTCATTATGACTTGCAAGCCCATTGTTTTTCCAGAAGAGAGAACCAAATTTCAGTCCTTGTTGCTTGGTTACAGCCCCTCCAACCCTCTTGGAATCCATGGGTTTGCAACACCTCAGAAAAGCAGACATATATAGTTTTCACTTCAATTATTTATGCAGCTAGCTGTTGATTCCTTTTAGTCTGGTGACCCTGAGGAGATGTTTCACTAACTCTGCTCTCCTCCCATCCAAGGCTTTATTCTGCTGTCCTTGGCTTTTCCTTGGGAATGCTCTCCAGAGCCTTTCCTGGAATCCTGAATGGGCAGGACAGAAAGGAAAGTGTTGCCTGGGTAACTCAGCAAAATAACCAGTTAGTTTGAGTGAGTGTGGCTCAGCCAGCTGAGAGCATTTGGGCACTGAAGTGTGCTCCTTTTCCAGGGCCACGCACTGAAACACCCCAAGAAATTCCCTCTTTCTAGCTGACTCATCCAGCATGAATGCCCTGGATTCCTGGATATGTCCAAACCAGGTAAGATCAATAAAAGTTAACTTTCTGCTGGTGCTGAAGTGCTGTTATGTGTTTAGGTCTGATTTTACTGGTGGCATCGACCTAATGGTTTGATATCACCAATTTACGTCAAGTTAGCACCAAAAAAAAAAAGGGTTTTACATAAAGAACATAAAATTATGTCAACAAACTGATTTATCCCTGAATCAGAAAAGTGTTATAAAAGAGAAATTTCTTTTAAGTATTCTTTAATGATGATGAACAAAATGTCATCTCAGAAAGTCAGGCAGTAAATGCAGACTTTAAAGCCAGACTGCTCATCCAGTCTGGCCTTAACGAAGTCAGTGGCTGGGAATCCTGTGTGGATGCTGACCCTGGGCACAGGAACAGCATTTCTGCTCCCACAGTGCCAGGATTTCATGGTCTGAGCATCTCAGTTATTTCTGGATAAAAGGAGGAGGGATAATATTATTTCCTTTCTTCCTACTCTTTGTCTGCTCTGTTCAATTAAAGCACAAACCCTCTGGAGCAAACTCTGTTTTCCTGACTTTCTGTGGTGCCCAGAACAACAGAGCCTCTCACAGCAGTGAGAATAATTGGGATTGTTTCTGTCATTAATCAGGCCTCAGGATGAGCTGGATTCTGCCCAGTTCCTACAAATTTCATGGACATGCAGAGAAGAATCCAATGGGACAAAAAAAGATGTGTGAGACACAAGGTTGAGACCAATGCCCACCCTGTGTTTACCCAATTCAAAGACAAAATTACTGGTCAAAATTAAATAAAGTGGGGGAAAAAAAAAAGATTTCTTTCTTGCAGAGCGGAGTCACACGGCTGAATTTCTTGTCAGAAGCAGATTTTTATGGGCAGGTTGTAAAGATCTGAAAAATAGTGTTTGTAATGGAAAGGCCGACACCATGTAAAATATGTCGTTCCTCTGAAATAGCACAGAGATAATTTTTCATGGGCTTTATGAGGAATGCATTTGCCATAAAAGATCTGAAGCCCATTAGGCTGTGATGGGGACCAATACCTTTCATTTTATAGACGGGGGAAAAACGGTAAGTAGAAATGCCCCAAATTACAATTTTGTTTTGATTTAGATATTAATTTCTTTATCCTTAGCAGACAGAGGAATGATTGACTCAACTGACCTGATGAATCTCTTAATACCCTGTCCTCACCACCCCATAATAAACTCAGTTCTTAGCACATGAAGTTTTAATGAAACCTGTGTGGAATGACTGCTTTGTTAAATTTCACTAACGATCTGTCAGTTCAACATTTGGAGCCACAGAATGCCTGTGCATGGAGCTGAAATTCTCTAATTACTATTATTCCCTTCTGCTTTGCTGGCATGGTGAAATTTGCCAGAAGAATTTCTAAGAGAAGGTTTTGGAGCCTTCAGCAACCATTGGGGAAAGCACAGACCTTTCTGTACAGGGAGACCTTGTAATGATCAGCCTTTGCAATGACCTAAAAGAGAAAAGAGAAATGTGAAGGAAAACAAGGATAAGGAGTAATTTTTCTGTCAAGAAGCTGAAAGGTAGAAGTCTAAACTACAGAGGTTTTGACTATATGGCATTTCCAATTGACTATCCCAGGGCAGAGGGGATTGTGTACTTTTTCCACATTGATTTTAATCTATTTATCCCCTTTATTTTCAGGACAGAGCCCAGGAGCTCAAGTGAGGAAGGGGCTGTGCCTGTGGTGTGGCAGTCACAGATCAATAGGGCACAATTTTCAGCTCCATTGTAACCTTCTCCTAAAACCCGGGTCCCATCACCACTGTTGGAGTTTAAAAACCACTTGTGAACTTCAGCAGGGACTACCCAGTGCCCACAGCCAACTGGGCTGCTGCAATTCCACCCTGGAACCCTGCCAGCACCTGCACTTTGTCGGGGTGAGCAAACAAAAATCAAATGCGTTTTGAAGGGAATAATTCACTGGGCTGATAATCAGTGCCTACAGCTTTAATGTTTTGGGAAAAATGTAAGATAAAAACAGACACAAACCTGGCCTGCCGGTTGCCACCAAGAGAAGAATCTCTGTTGTTTTCATTCTCTTCAAACCTGGAGAAGGAAGCCTGGAAGGTTTTCCTAAAACAGCTGAGCACGTTCAAGTGAGGCAAGAACACCCAACAGTGCAAAGTGCTCATGAAGAACTTTCCTGAACATTACATAAAGCCTGAGCCTCTTTAAGTACTTTCATCCAACAGATACATCCACAAGGCATTTAACAAGCCATTAACAAAGCAGGAGATCTTTTAGGCAACAAAAATACGAACTTCAAGTGGGCAAAACTGGGAAAGGAATTGGTGAAAGTGAAGCGGAGCGAGCCGAGCAGAGATTCAGCTGGATGATCACGTATCTTGCTACAGGTATCACCAACCTATCTTTAGGCACCTTCTGGAAAAACAGTTCACTGATACCAGCTGGATCAGCCCAGGAATTTGTTTGATGTGCTTAAGAGGTAACAATAGCTCCTAAGGTGACAGCGTCTCCTTGGAGACAGCGAATCCATCCAGCCAGCGCCAGGATCCCGGCAGGTTCCCCCTCTCCAGAGCCTCTGGAACTCCCTCCCTGTGCAGGGCCAGAGATGGAAGATAAGCTCTGCCTGTAGACAAATAGCCCTGAGCAAGATGTGAGGATTTTATGCATCAGCCAGACATGTCTGAAAGGTAGGAGGGTGCAAGGAGACACGAACCTGTAGTCATTGCTTGACATGCTTTGACAACAAAGATAGAGTTACAGGATTGAGTGTCTTTTTAAAATGTGCCAGCCTGTGTGCTGTGCAGGGAAAACATGAATTCCAGCAGAGCTGTTTTTCTTGGTGGCGCTGCCTGATTGCTGGGAGGAAAAAGCTGTCCCAACAAAAAATGTTGGTTTTGTTGCGAAAATGTGTGGAAGGGATGTGGATTGAGGTGTGGGCTTTGTATAGGTGTGTTGCCTCGATTTTTAAAAGTGTTAAGTTTTATTTTATAGTTCTTTTGAAAGTTTTAAAGTTCTCATGAAACTTCTTTAGCCTTCTGATAATATTTACATATTTGAGAGTCAGAGTTCCCACACAATTCCATGTATAAATAGAATAGCTTACATATTTCTCTGTGGGTAGAGAGAAATGATTGATTGATCTTTGGACCAGTGTGGTTGGAGAGGTGGTAATTCCATCCTCCAATCCATGGTCACCTTTAGAATTCTATAAATAACAGATGTTTGAATAAAACTGGGTCCTTTTCTCTTTTAAACTTACCAAATTTCTGTGTACTCATTTCGTGTCCAATAACGACATAGGTGCAGTCTGGATCCACGAGGAAAATGTTAGTTAATATGCTGAGAGTGTATCATTATGGTGATAGGACCTAATTAAGTTAATTATGTCTTGGGGGGGCGGCAATTTTATGAAGCATAAAGCGAGATAATTGATGCTACAGCTATCAGCAAGGATGCTTTGTAGCCATAACTTACAGGTGTGTTTGTCACTGAATTACGCTCAGAACTGCTTCAAAATGTTGCATAATGTCTCCTAAAACTCCTATAAAAATAATTGAAAGGTAATAGAGCATGCAAACACTATGTCCATATCTTCTACTCTCCGAAGTTCAGAGAGTTCTCATAATAAATGTTTGCATACAAGCAGAGCTGCTCTGGAGCAGTAAATTGTGTACATTTGAAATGAAGCACAGCCTGAATTCTGAGGTTGCCATCTCTTAAATACTTCCACAAACTGTGCTGGTAAGTTACCCCTGCAGTTCATCAATGGCTTTGGCATTTGCCATTGACTGGGACAACATAAATATTGGGTGTTTGGATAATAATAGTAAATAACTGGGTGTTTGGAGAATAATAATAAATAATTGAGTGTCTGGAGAATAATAATAAATAATTGGGTGTTTAAATGATTGGGTGGGAGCAAGCACTTATGTGCACAGGCAGTTTGGACAGATCCAGAACCAGCTCTCTTAGAGCCTGCAAAATCAGCAGCTCTCACCAGTGATATAAACTCTTTGCTTTGGGAGGATTTATTGCTCTTTTCTTATTTTCTCTGGTTTGGATTTTTTTTTTTCTATTCCTTCAAAATGATCTGGAAACACATTTGATTTTTTTCCTTCCTTTAGAATAGTCCACATTTTTTCACTTCCACAGCATCATGACTGAATGATCTGAGAGCACTTTGCTGCTAAATAAGAACCTGACCAGACCTCACTGAGATCAACCACAGGAGCAGGGCCCTTTCCATCAGATAGGGGCTGTGATTTGGTGGGATGTAGCAAGCACCACAGGAATTCTGACTCTGGATATGTGAAGAGTTATAAATAGCCCTACTGCTTGTTCCCAAACCTTTTATCCAGGGCATTTCAGATTTAAGGGGAACGCAGCAGTGGCTCGGTGAAAGCTCAGCCTGCTGGAGGATGCTGGTTCCTGAAGAGCAGCTGGGGATGAGGCTGTGAGAGCTGGATCAGCCCCCAAAACTGCTCAAAAGGCTGGGACAAAAAGCCTTTCAAATCTCAAATGCAAGAGTTTGCTCTGTCCTTACTCCTCTTTAGCTGAGCTCCCCATTCTCTGTGCAGCAGAGCTGAACTGTGCTGCAGCCTCAGATGTTTGTTTGTCGAGGCTGCTGCTTCAGCAGGAGAAAAGATTTGACTGACACTCCTTTTTTAACAGCCAAATAGGTAAAATATACACAGGAGGGACTTCTCGCTCTGTTTCTCAGTCAATGCCTTTCACTGGTGCAGTTTCAGAAGCAGCTCAGCTTTAGCTCTTCAAAGTCTTTTTGTGGGTTTTTAACGTGTCCTGCCCTGGAAGGCAGCTGGACTCAGATGTACTTGAGTGCAGCAGGGGACCTGGAGCAGCCTGGGCTCTCTGGAAAGGTGGCCAAGGTGTCAGTGAGAGCAGAGCACCCCCAGCCCCACAGCCCCCCTGACATCCTGACTGTGATCAGGGAGCTCAGCAGCGCAGGATTTTCCAAGTTGCAGCCTGGTACCTCCTCAGTCGTGTTCTGAAAAAGGCAGGAGCTGTTCTGTTCTCATTCCTGACAGTTTGCAAAGCACTTCAGGCACTGAATTCTTCACTGGGGCTTCCACTGAGAAGAATAATGTAAAATACAAGGGGTTAGCCAGGAGTGCTTCCAGATACCCCCCAGTCTGTGCTCCCTCTTGTCAGCTCACACAGAGCACTCCAGACTTCAAGGTGCCTGCAAAGAATTGTTTGGTACAGTTTTGTGGGGTTTTGTTTGTTACTGAGATGAAAAATGAAAAAAAATTTGTACCTGGATATGGTGTGAGCTGCAAAGTTGTAGCCATGATAGGAACTGGACTGAGGGCCAGCCTCAGAAATTAGGAGCTGGTCACACACAAGATTTTTTTTTTCCCCCCCCCATTATCTTTTGAAGTTTCCTTTCCAAACCTCTATTATGGAATTCTTAAAATATAGTCAAGTACCTCTGCTTGAAAAAGTCATAAATACTCCCCCACACCCCCCAAAAAGAGGGAGAATGGAGGAATGCGATTGCCACAGAGGGTTTCCATTAGTGAAATTAATTCTTCTCTCATAAGAATTTAGGTCCATGATTTATGATAACCACCAATTTCTCACTGCAGGCGAAGTGAGAGGAAATGACTCAGCCTGGACAGACATCATGAATCTAATTTTTTTTCCCTTAATGCTTGACATAATCTGGTGTGCTGCTCCCAGAGGTGTCATTGGAGATTCATATCCAGCCGAAGGGCCTCACAATCAAGGCAGGAAATTTTGTTCCTTTCATGTATTGTGAGATCTGTAATTGCTTGGAATTGCATCCTGCCTCCTTCATTGCCGCTCCTTTTGCATCAATTCTGCAGCAAAATAGGAAGGTAAACAAAGCAGGGGAGAAAAGAGCTGTGTGGCACTTGCTCCCCCAGAAAAATCTCCTGTGACATGATGTGGGGGCCCAGCTGGTGCTTGTTAAACCCAGGCACTTTTGAGATGAAAGATGTTTCTTTCTGTCACTCCTTCCCTGGAAATCTCACTACCCACCTGACTGGGGAAGCTGTCCCCATCACATATTTATATTTGCTGGAACTTGATGTTTTACTTGCCATCCAGAATTCTGTGAGTGGGTTTCCTGCTGGGAGATCAGAACAGATATCATGTTAAATGGTTCGGCTGAGATGTTTTATCCCACATTTCCAAGGACTGGGAGTGAATATTCCTGTCTCAGCAGAGGAGGTAGTATCTAGCTGAGAGGAAGGTAGGTTTTGAAGTCTTGCAGTTATAAATAGTCATTTGAATACCTCCTAAAAGATCACTTCCAAACTGAGCAAAAATCACAGATCTTTTTCTTAAACACAAAAGAATTGCTAACATTTTTCTTTGGCCTGATCTCATTTAACATACAAGGAGGTAAAAGCAGAACAAGCAGCAAGACAGAGCTAAACAAGAATTCCCAGCATATTTTTTTTATTATTATTATTTTCTGTGGGGTTTTTATACCATTTACCCAAAGTAAATCCTCTTTTCACAGGCTGCTGTGTGTGAACTCCTGCTGCTCTCTAACACACACACCCCACAAGGGGCTGCTTGCCTCGAGGTGACCTCAGAAAGTCTCTCAGGGCTGTTATTTTCCAAAATGCTGAGCTGACACAGCTTCCTGGGAGTCGCCCACAGTTCACTGGGGCTGGTGTGACCCCATTAAAACCCCCCTAAAGCAGGAGGGAGGAGAGCTCTGCCTCCTCTCCAACTCCAAGTGTGAAATCTTCCTTTCCCTCCTCTCCAAACCATTTGAAAGCTGCATTTTTATTCTGTTTTATTTATTTATTTCTGCTCCTGGCTCCGCTGGTTTTATGATGCTGAGGCTCCCTGGCAAGAGCTCCCCGAGCCTGTAGAGTAAACATCAAATTACAGCGCTGGATGCACACCCTGACTGAATGAAATAATTGTTTTCAAGTGTTCTGTGGTAAATCCCTAAATTGCAGCTGCCAGTCTGCAAATTCTTCAATCCCTCTGAAGCACAACTGGACAAATTTCCCCGTTTGGGGTGTATAAAATGTGACTTTTGGTAGTGTTTGTAGTCAAGGGACTAAAAGGGCACATGAACACACGGCTTCAGGCTGGGGGTTGGACTTGGTAACCTTGAAGGGCTTTCCCAGCAATAATTATTCTGTGATTTGAAGGCTCTATTGAACAAAATTCAGCTTTTCTCCAGATCTCTGAGAATCCCCTAGAGACTGAAATAAATGTACTAACATTAGTAAAATAATGAGTTGAACCGCATGTACAATGGAATAAAATAAATAACTGAGGTATCTTTTCATCCAACCCAGATCCAGAAAAGCAGGGCTCTCCTGGGTAGAAGGGAGCAAACACACCATGCTGTTGAACAAGATCAGCTCTCAATTTTCTCAAAGACTCATGTTTTTTAACAAGCTGCCAGTAAATTCCTCTTTCTGGTGTTTGTCACAGCTGTGGAAGGCTCCTGTGTGTAAGGAAATGCAGCTCAGGTTTGGCTCAGGATGTGGCTGTTGCCTGCTGGCAAGTCCGACCCCGAGCTGTTCTGTATTTTCTGTAATTATTAAACAAACCAAATAAAATTTGCATTTCTCTGGGCAGAATCTACGCTGGCTTAACATCTCCTCTCCAGTTCCTCAGGTCTGACTACAAGCAATCAGAAATTCTTAAAATCTTATTCCTCCTGCTGCTCCATCCTGAGGGATGCACACAACACTCCACTGGTTTTACCCCAAAACAGAGGAACCCTCGGGCAGAACTGGGACCCCAGGCTCCCTTTCCCAGTAAGTGTTGGGTTTCCCAGTCTGATTGCAGCTTTGTAAAGAAGCAACAGCGACACAGAGGAGCTGAGGCACAAATCTCTTCCTCAGCTTTGAAGAGGATTTTGTTTACCTCCTTTTATCCTCCAAAACTGGGGTGGAATTTTAATTGGGTTCTGCTTTTTGGGGTCAGCTCTGGCAGGGGATTTGAGCAGTTTGAGCACCAAACTGCTGCCATGGGCAGGGGGATAATGAGCCCTGAGGAGGCTCTCTCCAATTTTTGAGCCAATTTATTGGAGTTAACCAGGATGAGCTGTGAATTCCCAGAGCATTTACCAGCTCCTGCGTATGGCTCTGACTGAGGGAATTTCTGCTGTAATAAGGCCAGAAATAAGAGAAGCAGTGCCAACCCCTCAAGAGCTCCTACTGATTCTTTTATATCTTTATTCTGCCTTTCTTTTAAGCTTCCTTCTGACTCCTTCAAGTACCTTGGCTGGTGTGACATAGAGGAACACGGTGTTCGAGGAAATCAGCTCCTCTGTCCCCGAGTCAGGGAAGGTAAAGATCAAAAATACACTTTGACATTTCAGCCCTAACTGCATGGAGACAAAGAGGGCACCCTCAAAAGTGATGAGCTGAAATCATGGAGTTTGCCATTCCTTTGAAAAGGGGCAGGATTTCAGCTCATGGTGCCCACGCTTGCTTTATTTTTAATCATTAGGAAATTATCCTTTGTGATTTCCAAAATGAAAAGCAACTGCCTGAACTGGAAATTGAAAATTTTTAGTATCAACGTGCTGCTGATTACTTCTCTGAGAAGTTCATTAACATTTGGCTGTTCAGAACACAGCAGCCATGTGCCAAACAGCCAAACCAGCCCAGTCCTGCAAACACTGGCACATTTATTGTATTTTAAGACTAAATTGGCTCAATTGCAATCTACAGACACACTCAAGAACAGATGGGTTTTTAAATCCAGTATTTGCATGTTTGGGAGTAAACAGTGGAAAATTTCCAGCCGGTCCTTGCTTTAATCAGGAATTTGAAGATGTCCATAGCTCTAAACTTTTCTTTAAGACTTAAAGTCTCCAATGTGTGTCTGTCTCAATCAAATGAGGTTTGCAGAGGGGCTGTTGGTCCTTGGCACTGCTCTGGAAGCTGCAAACATTTTCCTTTTTGGGGACAATCAAAGGCTAGCTCACAGCCTGGCAAGGAATAAGAAGGATTTTAGCACTCAGATCCTTATGAACAACCCTTCAGAAATAGTTTTCATTCTGATCTGTAGCAGATCTGTCATTTACCAACCATGCACAAAATCTGTAGATTGCTGGCTGAATTATGGGCCTGGAAATGGTAGAAAAATCTTCCCATTAATTTAAATCTCAGAAGCCTTTAAAGTAACACACCTGTAATATTATATATATTTCTTCATTACAGAACCTCCCCAGCAATATATACATATTCTTCCAGCAAGTGACTAAGTGCCAGTTCTGTGTCACATCCCCAGCTGTAAATCTTTTTCTCTGACCAGGGCCCTCGGAAGAAGAACTGTTTTTCAGAAAAGAAGAACATACTCTGAAAAGAAGAAAACAAGTAACTGACCCAGAGAAATGGGAAAAGAGGCTGCAAGAGAACTGGGAAAACTGTGCTGTAAAACCTTCTCATTAAACTTTGGACTGTAGTTGTAAAGAAGCCAAATAATCATGTGCTGGCTGCTCACTGCATTTAATAGATTTAAATCTGTTGTAAGGAAGGTGTCCCTGGCTATGGCAGGGGGCGGAATCGGATGAATTTTGAATTCCCTGCCAACCCAGACCATTCTGTGAGGGCTCTGTGAATGTTTATATCTGGCTGCTGCACAGAATTTTGGTGTCAGCTGAGTTTAGAGGCCAAACCAAGAAGCCAGAATTACTCAGTCCTGCTCACTCCTGCACAATGGTAACCCCCCTCACGGAGGAAGGAGGAGATGGACACTAAAGTTTGTGCTTGAGAGATGGTTTCTTTCTTCCTTTCAAAGAATTAAGGAGTCCATCACTATGATTCTGAGGTGGATTTGGCACTTGGTACCACCAATTCTTATAAGAGCAGCAGCATAAAATGTATTCTCATTTTAACTACCTCTGACTAATTCTATATTGAATTATATAGCTATTACAAAGGAAGGGGGGAAAAAAAATGTGATTTCTCTTATTTTTTTTCCCTTCCCAGGAGTTGAACCTTTCCTTCCAGGACTTGGGTGATCTTTACCAGGTGGAAAACTTCAAAAGAATCCTCCGAAGATTAATTCGGGTGGAAAAGCTTTGGTTGGTGGACAATTCTTTGACAGACCTAAGTGCCATAAGGTTGCCAAGGTAGACAAAGTGTCCTGCTTCTGTTTTTATGTGATCTATTTTATGTAATATCCCCGAAACCAACATTTTCCTGAAGTGGCAGCTGGAGCAGGCTCTGCCAGAGCTGCTCTTGGGGGGTGTTGGATTGAGCATCCATCAGTTTATTGCTGCTCTGAGCTCATCCCCAGGCTGAAAATCCCCAGGGAGGAGATCAGACCATGTCCCCTTTATTATTTATTCCTGGGGAATAATTAATGAGCCCAGCCAGCTTCAGGGGGATCTGTGCCAAAAGGGGAAGCTGTTTTACACAGAAGGCATCTCTGTGAACACAACCCGAGCAGAGAGGCCAAGTGTGACCATGACAACTATAAATTTCTTTTACCATCCATCTGTTGCTACCCTGCTGTTGTGTATTTAGGTGTATGGAGAGTTGTAGTACTGAGAACAGAAATCATGATGCATCTGTTGTACAATATAAAGAAATAAGGGAATATAAAGTGTGGGGGTCTGATCTGGCAGTCCATGACCAGGCAAAAACAGCACAAAATGTAAAACCACTGTAAAAACCCCATCCCTGTTGTAGGGATTCTGTCCCAGCTCTGATAGTGATGCCATACACTTTGTACTTTACAGATGCAGAGAGCTAAATGTAAATAAAAACCACTTTACATCCTTCAAACAGCTGCCAAAGATCCCTCAGATTCAGCACTTGTCTCTCGCTGAAAATAACATCACGACCCTGAGTGGGATTTCAGACTTCAGACACACTCCACTTGAATCCCTGATCCTCAAGAGGAATCCCTGTGAGTTCCAGGAAAGATACAGACAGCTGTAAGTCCAGCACTCTCATGGCTAAAAAAAGTGATAAACACCAAAAAATGTTTGTCAGAGTTTCAAAGGCATGGGATCTGAAATCCAAAAAGCTTTCTAAAGAAGCTTTTCATTTCCCTGTAGTTTCAATGCTCTGAAATGCTCCAGGAGCGTGGGTTAGTGAGCTTTTATGTGATAAAAGCCCCCAAATATTCAGAAAGTGCCTAAGATGCTTTTTAATGGCATGACTGGCAGTTCTGGAACCAAACTAAGCCCATGGATAAAGCTTAGAGACAGTGAGCAGGGCAGATAAATTAGATTCCCTTTTATTAATAGAAACTACCTATTACTCAAACTCTCTTCAGCCTCATTGCATCCTTGGTGGGCTCTGCACGGAGCCTAAATTGCATTACATGTCAGAGATGGAATCAGGAGGATGTCTTGAAAGATGGGAGCAAAAGCAGGAGAAAATGAAGTTCCCTTCATTGGATTTTCCTGGATTTCCCTGTCCCTGTGGCAGGGCTGTGGGAGCTGCTCTGCCTTGAGCAGCCTCTCAGTGCAATTTGTGCTGCAGCTTTGGGATGGGCTGGAGGTTTAACAGAGCAGCCTCAGACACTGGAAATGGAAACTCCAATCCAAGGCATTACAGTCCAAAAAAATTCAGGATAATATGATCTATTCTAAGCCTCACTCTTAGCAAATCTGCATGTGGCATGTTTTGCCCCACTACAAACACAACCAGGTGCTGATATTGTGAAGATAAACCTTGCAGGGTGTGTCTGAAATGGGACACATCTCCTCCCATCGTTCCTGGGAGAGGGAAAAAAATAAAAGTTTAAAAGAAGAGTTTAATTGAAACCTTTCTGAGTTTCCAGTATGTTTTCCCTTTAGTCTTGTGGGCATCCCTTTGGCAGTGTGGTGCTGATAAAGGCAGGGAGGCAGATATCAGCGTGGAAGGGGAAAAGCACATTTTAAATTATGGATTTCACCTTTTATTTGCATATCTACAAGTCCAGGAGAACAAAAGCAGAAATCATCTTTTAACAGTTCCTAATTGTGTTTCTGCTCTCAATCTCCCAGTTCTTGGGGCAATTAAGTATTGGTACTATTTGGTATAACTGTGGTATTATGCTCATTACCAGTGTTGGAAGACAGGTTCTTGAGGTGTTTTATTGAGTCTGAGGATATAATAGTGGTGCAATAGAGCAAAATCTGAGAGTTTTAATTAGCTCTTTATCAGAGAAATTCTGCAACAAATGACAAATCAAGATTTCCAACAACCCAAATCTATTTTAGATGCATTTGAATCCACTGTTTCTTTTTTATCAGTGTCTGTTTTGTCCTCAACATTTCCCAAAATTATTTTTCTCAATTTCCATTTTTTCTTTTGTCTCTCTTTAAGTGTGTTCTCCAATTTGCCAAACCTGAAAATACTGGATGGCATCCCAAAACTGCCAGAGGACTGCTCACCCCCTGATGTCAAGTTTTTTTACAGAATATGTACTATACTCTAGCGCAGTATTTTTGTAGGATCACAGTTGTGCTACAACCACCTTGATTAAAAGAGACTATAAATCCTGGTTATGGAAGTTCTATTTTATTTTTTTTTTACTGGTCAAAGAGATATTGAAACAGAAATAAAACATTTTTGAGTGCACTTGTGATACCCAGTAAGTATGGCTATGGATGTGTAAATAAGACATAATGTTGCACTGGATATCATGAGTTTGGTGTATTAAAAACAGTGTGTGATTTTCTCAATTAGCAACTCTGTGTCAACAACAACTCACAATTATTGACTCCCACTGCATTTCATTAGAGCATGGCCAAGCTCAGACCCCAGGCTCATTGTGGGAAATGACACAGGGGATGGACACCCAAAGAAAAGGAAAACAAATCCCACAACTGGATAAAAAGCCCCACCAATGTCCAAGTGCTCTTTAATGAGCTTTGTACATGGCAAAAGCTGACCCACCCCAATCACTTTGACCCTAATAATTAAAAAAGATCTTGCTTTGGAGTTTGGTGTGGCCAGAGAGCACCGGGGAGGGAAATCATGACAAGGAAAGGGGTTTTTTCTCTCCCTGCTGGCATTGTTTGGGGATGTCCTGTTGCTAAATAGAGGCTCCTCAAAGCAAAGCCACAGGAGGGGAAGAGCTGTGGGAGCTGACAGGGGATTTGGAAATCTGGATGCAATTATCTCAGAGAGGTCTCTGTCCCTGCCTTTGATTGCTTTGCTGCCCAACCTTCAGGGTTGTTTTTCCCCAACCAGCACACAAATATCTGTGCCACCAACAGTGCAGGGGAAGAATGAGAGAGTCCTGGAAATTAAGCCAATTAAGAGAATTGCCTAATTGCAGGGGCAGCCAGTAAATTCTGTGCTGTGTGCTGGCTGCAGGGGCAGGTGGGCTCTGCAGTGCCATGGCTTAGCAGCAGAAATGTCACAGCAGCTCTGCTCAACATCTGCACTGCACCCAGGCAGGAGAAATCACCAGCTTGGAGAGTCTCCAGCCTCTCCCTAAGGGCTGTCCTTGCCTCTCCCACAGCTCAGCAGCCAAAACAGGTGATCAAAATACTGCACGAATGAAATAATGGGATTTTAAATGTGTTAGAGGATCTGGCTCAGAGGATTTTCTGCAGCTGTGACAGGAAAAGGCAGGGGAGCGCTGCAGAGAGGTGTCAGCCTGATGGTCACCCTCAGGAAATCTTGAAATTTGGAGAAGCAGAGCAGTATTTACTGGGAGCAGAGCAGGCTGTGACAAGGATCACACCCCAGGATCAGGAGGGAAATTCAACAGCACACAGCAAAGAGCTTTCACAGGTTCAGAGGGAGATGGTGTGGTTTACACAGCAGCACAGGCAACAGAACATTGTGTGTGTGCATGGCAAACTGCCCAGAGAACAGGAATGGTTGTGCACAGGGTATAAGAACAGAAAACATGAAAGCTTCTGTGGACTGAGGACAGTGGTCCTCAGCCTAGAAATGAATCCAGGTACCCCAAAACACATTGGCATTATAAAGAACCCCGGGTGTGTCTGGAAGTGGAAGGTTCAACACAAATTGAATATATTCTTTTCTGAATATATACCTGAGGTTATGTGTGAGAAAACACTTGGGAATGAGGCAGGGAGCTGGAGCAGAGGGAAAATAGAGCCTGAAGGACCTGCCTGACTGACCACCATGCCCTGACTGACCACCTGAGCCCTGACTGACCACCATGCCCTGACTGACCACCTGAGCCCTGCTGACCACCTGAGCCCTGCTGACCACCTCACTGAGCCTTCCCTGGCCCAGGCAGGAGCAGCAGGACACCGCTGTGGGGTTGAGGCTGGGAATGGGACAGGCAAAGAGGCTTTTCCCCAAAATCTCAGCCCCTAAGGAGCGCTCAGAGCAGCAGTGTTGGAATCACAGCACGAAGCACTCCAGGACCAGGCTCTCTTCCCAGAATTCATCAGAAAGTGAGGCAGGGATGGGAAATTGCTGCAGTCCCGTGGGCAGAGGTTTCAGTTCCAGCTCCTGGTGAAGTTCCCAGGCACCTCTTGCAGATGGAATTAGGAGCTGCTCCAGTCCCTGCCTCTGCTCTTTGCACCTGAGTGCTGGGTCAGTCACGAGACAAAGGCGCAGACACTGATTTATTCTTTCCAAACGGGAAGTTGGTTCTGCTCTCATAATTTTTCATTTCATTACTTTAATGCTCTGGCTCTGGGATCCCAGGGAAATATGAGGTAATTCTGGGGAGCCTGGCTGATTTTATTTAAAGTGCATTCAGGAGAAAGAATGTGCTGCTGATGTTTGAGTCGTTTTGCTGTGAGGAGATTTAAAAGGAGATCACAGAAGCACAGAATGGTTTAGGTTGGAAAGGAAAAGCCCATCTAAATCAACCCCCTGCCATGGGCTGCTCCAAGCCCTGTCCAGCCTGGCCTTGGGCACTTCCAGGGATCCAGGGGCAGCCACAGATTCTCTTGGAATCTGTGCCAGGGCCTCCCCACCCTCACAGGGAAGAATTTCTTCCATCCACACTGAAATGTAAAGTAGCAGCTGCCACCAATGAGCTCAGTATCAAAGTGTCATGAAATCAATTTCCAATTACTCACACAGATCCCTTTGAACCTGACAGTTCATGAACATTTAGCAAAGTGTTCCCAAAGTCTTGCTCTAACATCCTAGGACAGGTCCAGGGCTGATGAGCCCAAAACTGACTCATTTAGCTGTCTCCTCACTTCTCATTATGTCTAAATCCCTCAATGCAGAGAAATTAGAAAAGTTTGAATAGAAAAATTTGAGCAATATCAAATTTTAAAAACCCAGATTAACTAAATGAACAGAAAGAAAAGCAGATTTTTCATTTAATAATTTATTATAGATCCTAGGAGTTTCACAGCAGGGTTTAAAAGATCTCTAATTATTACAGTTCATGGGTCATGGAAGCAAAGTTGTACCAGAGAAGAAACCATCAAGCATTGATGAGCTTTTCAAAAACCAGCTGCTCACATACACCTCACTTTGCAGAACATGGAGGACAAACACCCCCTGTTCCAGATTATTTCAACCACTCAGGAAATAAAGGCTGGGAGCCAAAATCCTTCCCCAGGACTGTTCACTGCAGCCCTGACTGGGTGTGAGTACAGCAAGGAGGGCTCCCATGAGAAATGAGTTATTTTCGTGCCTTCCACTGGGCTTCAGGGGCTGGGAGAGTGCTAACCTAAACAGGGATGAGAGAAGCTTGGACAGTAATAAACTGGGAATGCCCAAAGGTTCATGATTAGTCAAGCTGCAGGAAATGGTCCTGTCAGCCTTGGGGAGTGAAATCCTAGCCAGGGCTTTTTGTTTCTCATTCTGTTTCATACTGGTTGTATGAAATATGTGATAACATATTTCCCATTCCTATTCTCCACAAAGTCTATTTTTTTCTTAGTATGTTTCTATAATTACTCTTTACAACCTGACCACTGAACCAGTTTAAGGATTCTCCCATTAAAAGATGTGGATGATGAAGTCAGAGTTTCTTTGATACACTTTAATTGTCTATATAAAATGTGGGAGTTGGATTAACACAGGGTGAAAAAGTAAAATTTTAGGGTTTTAAAATAAGGAGTTCAAGGGGTCAAGATGGAGGGATTTGGGCGTGTCCTGACCTTCTTCTCCTTCTTCTTGCCCTCCATGTCTTGCTGTGATGGTGACACTTCTCTGTTGGTTTAAGGTAGGGACACACTGTCCAACATAAATGACAGATATTGGCACATTATTGTAAACATGGCACAGGTAGTTTTTGGTATAAAATTCAAACACCACCCTGAGGGCAGACAGAATGCCATGGCCGAGCTGCTGGACAGAGCTCAGCAGGGCAGAGAGAGAATGTTCTAGATAAGGGAAAATAAACAACCTTGAGAAACTGATCCTACACATTCAGACTCCTTCTTTGGCTGCCTGGGCTGGGAAATGAGGACTTTTACACTCTTAGGGTCATCCCCACACCCAGACCCCGAGGCTCCAGGCTGAGCTGTTCTCTCCTTGCCCACTGCCTGCTCCTGCCTGCAGCTCCTTCAGGGCCACCAGAGCACTTGGGATGTCTGGTGCTGTGAGCACAAAAGGAAATGGGTGGTGGAGCAAGTTCTGTGGGATTAAACAAATCAGTCAAACACCATCCTGTCTGTACAAGCCATCCCTGTTTATCTTTCAAGGGCAGAGTTCCTGGTGAGGACAGATGTCTAAAGCAGGGCACGTGTTCAGCTTGGTAGGTATTTGGGATCTGAAAGGCAAAGAACAAGTTGTTCAGCCCTGCTGCATTTTTGGTATGCTTAATTCAACATTTTACCACTGGCTCTCACTGGAAGTATCAGCAGTTTGCTCTCCTCTGCTATTTTATTTTTATTTCATTGTCTTCCTTTAAGCATTGCAGCAAATACAACCATAAAATCAGAGCTGAAGCTCCAAAGGGTAGATGAATGCCTGAGGAGAAAATGGAATACAATGTCAATTCTACAGAGGGGAGTGCTCAAAGTGTTTGTTGTGTCCCATGCCACAAAGATGAGGAAAAATATCCCAAGATTTTACTGTGACAGTATCACACTCTAGCACTCTGAACCAATTTTCTCATCATTTCCTTGCAGGAGAGATGCAGAATAAGGTATAATAATCAGATTATTACTGACTTTTTGTAGGCCACAAACATTGGGCTATTAATTACTGAATGTGACTTGGCTGTTGAAAAGCAGCTGCTCACCAAGTTCTTTGAGAGACTCTGCATTGCTGAAGGCTGACACTCTCCTTGCCTTTATCCACTCTCCAGGAGCACTTCCAGCTGTGCTCCCAGCCAACCCCTGTCCCTTTTTTGTTTTAACACGAACTGTGGAGTGAGTGAATCCTGTGTGCTGTGGGGAAAGGTGAAGCTGTGTGCCTGAGGAGAGCTGTGCCCCCTGGGAATAGCTGATGGAAATTCCTGTGCTCCTGATGCGTGGTACCCAAATGTCTCCTCTCTGCAAGGACTGTGGAGCTCCCTCAGGGCTCAGCTGGTTTCCCTCCTCCTCCTCCAGCCTCCTTATGTTGTTTTAATTAAGTTGTAATTCATCTCTTTCTTTCAAACAAACTGTTTTCCTTATTTACTTGGAGGAGCATCCTTTAATTTGCACTGGGGCTGCTCTCAGGTGCAATTCCAG